GATCAATTCGTAATTTACAGACGTTAAATGAACACCACGAAGAATATGCATTATCTATATACATGATACATGCGAAGTCATTAAGACCATTATTATTACTGCATGGTGGCAGGTACTATCCAAGATTTAAACCACTGGGCCTGATTAACAAGGCGTTAGAACTTTGTCGTGATTCTTTAAAGTGCAGTCAAATAGGATAACGGAACGGAGCTAAAGGCAGTTTACAAGGATATTCTAAATTATTTTTTGACGTCGAAAGTCTATCTGGAAAATAATTATGCAATCTTTCATTGTGAAGCCATTTTCATGTCCCTGGGGGAATGGGGGGAGAGCTGCCAGACAAACTTTTAAACGGGGAGGCTCCGCCCCGAGGTCCAAATCAACACCCTTTCATATAACATTTTTGACAGAAAAGGTTCCCCATTCGTATACCTTCTACATACCTTGTTTGGAAATTTGGGTCTCGTTTAACTGTTGTAAATGCACTGCTTAACAGCCATAAAATGCATCTGTCAGCCCTTTAAGGTCCCTTTACAACATGTTTGCTTATTCTTTTTATATATACTTCAACTAATGATATCCCAAACCTTTCATTTAACCGAAGCCTGAAAAAGGTATCCCTTTTGGCGGAGCCTCCCCGTATAGGCAGTTATAGGGAGTCCCCCCTCCCACCTCAACCCGGGTTCAATAGTTAGTCCATCAAAAATGAGTCAGAGAAACCTCAACAAATGCCCCAGTAAAGTCAACACAAGAGAGCTACAAAGGATAGCAGTATACTCTCCTGCTGCTATTAGCGAGATCATTTAAAATATTGAATCGTCACAATAACCATGAAGAAACAGTTATGCCAGACTTTTTGTTTTAATCGTGTTTTAAGTTTGAATTGTTAGAAACACCGTTTTACTCTTCGGATTTAATTAAAGCTTAATATTTTTAGATAACTCTGCATACGATTGGAAAAATGTATATCGACTACCAATTTGTCTATAGCCAATATTCAATAGCCAATGCAAAAAATCAAAATCAGACTATGAACTATGGAAAATGTCACACACCTGGTACAGCACAGACCCATAGAGGCAATTAACACAGAACAGGACAAGAAAATTTAAAAAGGCGATATTGTCTCATTCTTTAGCGTAAATTTTAATTCCGTGTCGATTGACTTGAAGTGCAAAACGAATGATTCATACACCCGGTAGGGAAAGCGTCATAAAATAAATATAATATATAGAAAGAAATTTGTCGAGTTATCGAGGGTTCGCGTTAAGTAAGTGTATGAAGAAAATCCAGGGGAAATCGTTTTTTGTTCAAGTTAGCGCGTGGTTCGAGTTAGCAATGGTTCGAGTTATCGAAAGTCGACTGTATGCAAATTACCCTCGTTCCTCGCGGCTTTGCCGCTTGCCCCTCACGCGCGCGCTAGATCTATTTTGACTCAAACGAAAAAATAAGAGACTGCTCGCACTCTACGCAAATTTTAACTGACCAATACTCGTTAATGCCGACATTAAATAAATAAATAAATACGAAACAAATGAAAGTCCAGCTTGGTCATCAATGGGAGACAAGCTTGCATTCGATCATGAATAGTGACACAATTCAGGGTGGTAGCGTTCTATGTAGTTCCCATCCTCTCATTGCTTGTTGTTTCGCTGTCAACCCTATCCTCAACTTTTTTGTCTTCATCTTCAAGACTAAAGTTCATAGTTCCGCTGTCTTTTAACGCTCCGGACATGGAAGGCAATTCAAATTTCCAGTCTGCAGTTGTTGCCCGAGAAAACTTTTTCCACTAAAGCCACGCACCTCACTTTGCAATTCGTTAAGAGGAAGAAGAAGGGCAAGACAGCACGAGATAGACCTTTGAGGACATTTACGCCATATGCTAAAATAACGGTAGATGTATATAAAAGTATTGAACTGAAAAAGAAACGAACCAGAGAAAAAGGTTACGATTTGACTTTACAATTATTTTTTTATGATTTAGAACTTTTTTGGTTCCTTGAAGTGAAACCATTAATTAAACTCTCTCTCTACAGTAACACTACATAACCAGTATTTCATAACCGGCTTGCGCTGACCAAATTAATTTTAAAGACTCGCATCAATTGTCGAATACTGGATAGAAACTTGAACATATGTTACAACAATAGACGATTCACGTCATGGAAAACTAAGGTTATGATATAATTATCACGATCATCTCCAGGCAGTCTAGAACATGACTGGAAGATTTCAAACCTAGAAAAGACCGCGAGAATGGAGTAAAAAGTTACTCAAAGATCTCAACAATATTTGCGGAAAAGGTGAAAAACACGCGTTGATATCCTAAAACTGCAGTGGAGCTGAAATTTTGTCAACCTATTGACGCCCCGAGACTTTCTACGTTTTTGCGTGACTCCGTATTTGGGGTTACCTTGGAAAGTGGTGCTGTTCTAAAACACTGAAGGCTCGAGTGTTTTGGAAACTTCATTCGCTGACGTAGTCATTTTACTTCGTTGAGATATAAAAACCGCTGAAGTTTGGTTTGTACGCGATTTTTGGTAATTTTATAGCCATTTTTCATCCTTAGTGTCTGTCTGATGAGCATCATTAAGCGCGACGGTAGCTAAGAGTCCACTTTCTTTTTGTTTTTTGTTTTGTTTTGTTTTTCTTAAGCCATTATTGTTGTTATGGGGTACGGAAATATTTTCAATGGATATCATCACATATCTACATAGCTTAGAACATAGTACTAATTATTACCGCATGATATAAAGCTAGTAAAGAGATGGGAAAAAAAATATGCTTGGCAATTACAAACCGTCCAGGAAAGATAAAATTTCATTTTAGAAAAAAGAACAATCCTGTAAAAGCTGAATAGAAAAATTTTTCCTGAAGAAAACTAGACATTATGGCAGACATAATGCAATTTATGGCAAGGCATGATACTCACATGATAACTCGCTAGGTCAGGCTGTACCAGGTACTGCAAATCTAGCCAATTAGGTAATAGGGCGGTGTCAGGGTTAAGTAGGTATATCGAGATATTTTCCCAGTAATTCTTCCTTCTCTCCCTCGTCATCAACTCGGTCAGATCTCGAGCAAAATCTTTTCAGGCAAATACTTCCTTTGATTATATTCTCTTTTCCTCATGCCGCCAATCCGTGTTTTAATTCTGGGCCACTCTTTCATTCGCCGTGTGCACGATTTTCTTTGCCGCAATTTTAATGCGCGCATTGCGAAAAATTTAAGTCTAGATGGCGATCTGCTCATAAGATGGCATGGGATTGGAGGTAGAACGGTTTCTAAAACTAGGGAGTACGATTTAGGTATAGTAGAGGAGTTCGCTCTCAATGTAGTGATCATGCAATTAGGTACGAATGACCTTACCACCATTTCGGCCGTTGAAACTGGCTCGGCCATTGAAGATCTGTGTCGTTTACTTTATGAGTCATATGGAGTGGAATTGATTTGCGTTTGTCAAACCCTTTACAGGCAAGATGCCTCTTCTTTTAACAAACAGGTTGACTTGTTAACGAAGTATCTGAAGGTGGTTTTAGAACTCATTCCTTATGTATTTTACTGGCGTCACAGAGGGTTTTGGCGTTGTAAATCAAGTTTTCTTGCCCGGGATGGTGTTCATTTAAACAAACTCGGACATTATAAATATTTTCGCAGTTTTAGAGGCGCAGTTCTTAGATGTATACGAATTTTCTCAGGTCGTTAACAGCAGTAAGTTTTTCCCATGTATTTGCCAGTTCCCTAATTTTGATATTTGTTGCTCTTTACCAAGCCGAATGTTATGCAGCCTTGCCCTTTGTTCACTTGTTGCTAGAAAGTAATTTCCTACCTATAAGCAGGCTTGCTACTTTGTTCATGCACGGTTTAAATACCGTGTTTATTTTTGCGGCTTTGGTTATGTTATTTTGTGCTTTCGCTTTACCATTTTGAGTGTACAACCACTTTTGACCGCCCCCTTTTTTGGGAGGTGTGTCCAATGCACTCGGTATCAGTGATTATGCACGTTTTTTCATGGAACTTGGCTTTTTTCTATACTGTTACTGCTGTCTTATTTATCGTATTTTGTCACTTATATTTTTTTTAATTTCTTTTGTGGCTACGTCGGGCCTGATAGGCTATATATATCTTGAACTGCCTCTCCCAAGTGCTAAGTAATTTTACAGACAACAATGGCGCGCGGGGTATATTCGTATCCCCTGCAGTGCTGTTAATTGTCTCAGTCTTGTTTATTTTTGCCAGTTTCAGTAGTCTTTTTTGTAAAAAATGCCTCCGCGAAAACGACCAGCAACTCAAGCTACAGCGCCCACCGCCATTCCATCCGTTCGCCCCAACAAGCGAGCCAGGCGGCCAAGACTGCGTCCTGAGGAGCCGCCCACTGTTCATGAGAGCACTACAACTGCGCAGGCTAACGTGATTGCTTCAAACCCTTCAAGTTCATCCCCAGGCACAGTGTCCGTGGATGTCGACGCAATCACCGCTACCATTTCTGCCGTAATTACACAAGCAGTAAAGACGGCCTTCTCGCCTGAGAAATTGGCTTCGCTGCTCGACAACAACTCCCCAACGCCAGTAGTTACGCAAGCGTCAACTGGACTTGTTGAGCAGGCTGTGGATGACGACGTCCATGTCATCACCAATCCTCAGTCAGGTATTGGAGCAGTTGAGCAGTTGACACAGGTCCGTATGATCAAAGACCACAAGTTCAATTCACCAGTGTTTCTGTCCCTCTCACTTCGAGAGTGAGTTCCAAAATCAAAGCAAAAATTTGGGCGAATGACTATATTAATTTCGGGTCGTTATTGTCTGATTCACCTCAGCAGGGGGGGAAATACTCATTATCTATGACACCGTCAGTCGCCTGTTCTTCGAGCCAGCCTCAACTGACGCTTGAACCCTGTCACGTTTCTAAGAAAATAGCCAACATTTCCCAGTGGGTCTCTGCGTATAATATTTTCGTTTCTGTTTAAGCGGAAAGATTTAACACTTACACTCCTCAATTAATGAAATATTGCGAGGTGGTCCGGGATCTGGCTGCAAAGGGGGGAGATTGGCATTGGTATGATGAACAATTTCGTTACGTAAGACAATCGGCACCAGAGCAGTATCCATGGGATAGGATACATTGGGAGTTGTGGTTACGGGCGTCAAATACTTTTCGCAAACCGCAACCGCCCACCAACAAACCACGTTTTCGTTCTCAATTCTTTCCGAAAGGGACCTGCTGGGCCTTTCAAGCAGGTAAGCACTGTTCCGGATGCAAATTCGAAGACGTGTGTTTTAAATGTGGTGGAAAACACCCGGGCGGCCAGTGCTCAGCTTCGGCGCCCAAAAGTGGATTCCCTTTCAGTTCAAAAGGCAAACGAGATAGTACATCGGGTTCTCCACAGCAAGCCAGTCACGCCAGTAAGAGTGAATCGGCTTGATTTTTTGCTGCATGGTTATGACAGAGTATTAAAACAATTTCTTGTTGATGGTTTTCGTTTTGGTTTTCGTATTCACTTTGTTGGTGAGCGGTTTTCGTCTGAGTCTCCTAATCTTAAAAGCGCGCTGGATCAGCCAGTGGTAACGCATGCTAAGTTACGCAAGGAATGTGATGCAGGGAGAATTGTTGGTCCTTTCACAGCTCCCCCCTTTCCCAATTTTCGTTGCTCTCCACTGGGCATTGTTCCCAAAAAGGATCCACATGAATTTCGATTAATACACCTTTTATCTCACCCCAAGTGTTCTTCCGTAAATGACTTTATCCCGGATTATTGTTCTACCGTGAAATAAGCATCGGTCGGGGATGCGGTGAAGTTACTCAAGCGGTTAGGAAAGGGTTGTTTTATGGCCAAAACCGACGTGAAATCTGCTTTCCGTATAATTCCTATTCACCCTGCTGACTATTCCTTGCTTGGTTTGAAATGGGACAACATGTACTATTTTGATAGGTGTCTCGCGATGGGGCTTTCCAGTTCCTGTGCGATTTTTGAAGCATTTAGTACGGCACTTGAGTGGTTGTCCATCAATCATCTTGGTGCTTGCGCAGTATTACATATTTTAGATGATTTTTTGTTCATAGCCCAAAGCAAACGACAATGTGAACACGACTTAGATAATTTTATTTTGATGTGTAATTATCTTGGCGTTCCTTTGGCCCCTGAAAAAACGGTGGGTCCCGCGACTGTTTTACAATTTGCTGGAATTACGCTTGATTCTGTACGCCAAGAGGCTCGCCTACCAGAGGACAAACTTCTCAAGTGTCGTGCGATGTTACAAAATTTCCAGGCCCGGCGCTCCGTCTGCCTAAAGGAACTCCAATCACTGATAGGTTTATTGAATTTTACATGCCTCGTGGTTGTTCCGGGTCGCACTTTTCTACGTCGCATGATAGACTTACCAAAGGCGTCAACAAGCCTCATCATCACATTCGTCTTTCGCGAGGCGCTACATTAGATATCATGCTTTGGCTCCGTTTTCTTGACGATTTTAACGGGCGATTGTTTTTCTTAAGTGACGTTTGGGAAACATCCCAGAGTCTTCAGCTTTATACTGATGCCGCAGGTTCGATAGGTTTTGGTGCGGTCTTTGATCGCCATTGGCTTCACGGAACTTGGCCGAACCACTGGAAATCTTATAACATCGCGCTTTTGGAGCTTTTTCCCATTGTCATTGCTGTTCACATTTGGGGGCACATAATGGCAGATAAACGTATCATATTTTTCACTGACAATGCCGCCGTTGTTGACATTATTAATAATCAGACGTCTAAGCACCAGGGTATCATGGTGCTATTAAGGGATTTAGTGCTAAGTTGCCTTAAACATAACATAATATTTCAAGCTCGCCATATTCCTGGGTTAATCAATTCTAGTGCCGATTACATTTCACGTTCCCAGGTAACAAAGTTCAAGGAACTTTCACCAGAAGCCTACCAGCTCCCGACCCCCATCCCCGAGAACCTATTGCCGAAGAGTTGGGTGCTAACTTGACAGGTCTACTAAATTCTACTCTCACAGCCAGCTCGCGGCGGCTGTATCAGCGTGCGTGGGTCGTTTTCCGCCAATTCTATGCTCACTTGTACGGTTCAACCAATCCTCCTTTACCTTTACCCCCTACTTGTATCCCTCTTTTTCTTTCTTATCTCTCGTTTCGTAAATTGGCCTGTTCCACGATCAGATCATATCTTTCTGCCATTTCCTATGCACATAAGCTCAAAGGTTTTAATGACCCTACCAAATCTTTTCTAATTGACAAACTGTTGACAGCTTTGAGCCGTCAACAGCCGTCGGACATATTCGTCTGCCAATTACACGGCCCATATTGCACCAGCTGATTCGCTCTCTTACTTTTTCTAACTCTTCGGCATTTCAGCGTTCTCTTTTTTCGGCGATGTTTCTTGTCGCGTTTTACGGTCTTTTTCGCATAGGTGAGCTGGCGTCCAAGAGCACACGATTTGCGCGTTCTGTCGTTCAGTACAGTAATCTCACATTCTCACTTCGTCAAGGCCAAGTGCAGGGGGCAAAGATTACTATTACCGAGTATAAGCATAACGTTAGTCGCAGACCTTTTGACATTTTACTTGCAAAGGATGTCTCTTCCCCTTTTTGCCCTGTTACAGCCCTATATCAGTATTGTAATATCAGGGGAACTCGTCCAGGGCCACTTTTTTGTCACCCTGATCAGACCGCCATCTCTGTTCACCAATTCAATGTCGCACTTCAGCAGTGCTTATCTTACTGTGGTCTGGATAGTAGTTGGTACAAGACTCATAGCTTTCGCATTGGCGGCGCGTGCCATGCCGCTGAAAAAGGTTATTCTGACGCGCAAATTCGTGCTCTTGGTCGCTGGAAATCCGACGCATTTAAAGTTTATTTGAGGTCGGAAGTTGTTCACGCTAATTAATTGATTTGCCCACGTGTCGAAAGTAGGTCAGACAATTGGGCTGCTACTTGGTGGGCTTAGACAACCATTTTTACCGACCTTTGAGTTGTTAGTTCCTAATCTTATTCATTCTGCTTTTACGCCTGCTAAATGGGTCAGTCATTGGGCTGCTATTTGGCTGGCATTAGTTCTCGTTTCATATGACTTAGTTCGTTCTGTTATTATGCCTTTTTGGTAGGTCAGTGATCGGGCTGCTACTTGGTTGGCATTATTTCTCGTTTCCCTTGTCTTAATGTTAGACAGTTTTTTAGAACTTTTGTTCTTATGCCGGTTGCGTAGGTCAGTCATTGGGCTGCTACTTGGTTGACAATTTTTAAGTCCGAATTTTCCTATCGATTATCATCTCTCTAATTTGTACCAGACGTTCAATTTCACGGTTCAAACAAGGGCTGCCGTTTCGTTGGCGTCACGTTTAGTATTGACAAATTTTTATTTTCTTCTTCTTCTCATGATAGTTTTAAAAGTGTCCAACAATTTTTCGCTTTCCAGCTTTCACGCGAGCTTTGCTTCTTTTTGTGGGGCTTCAGCCACAGTTGTGTGGCTTGTGGCGGATTTTTGTCGCCCCATTTTTTATTCAGTAGGTTAATCGGTTTACATATATCGATGTGTTGTGATTCTGTTAGCTTTGATTTCATTAAACCTGCCACAACTGTGGCCAGATTTATCTAACACAGTTGTTTGTTTATATTTTAATTCTGTTCCTTGTCGGAAAGTACGTGACCGGAAATGCAATCAGAGCTCGCGCAGGGTTGGGCCTTGTTTAGAACACATGCCTTGATATAAAGAATTTTGTTTAGCGATTTACAATAAGGAATTATTCCAAAAAATAAAGTTTAGTAATAAAACATTTCAGTTTTATAGACCTCCAATATGGTAAGGTTAGGGTACAGGCTAATCTATCGCCCGGGCAAACTTTACAAGCTTGACTGACGTGTTTCGTCATGCGTGACCACATAGGGAGTGTTGAAGTGGAAATTTATGTGACTTCGTTGAACTAATTATGTATTACAAATTGATACTTCTAACCCACTAAAGTGGGTGTATTCCCCCGAAAAAGAAATAATAGCAATAAAAAATGAGTCAGACAAACCGTGATCCATCCCGGTTATTTGAAGGAAAAAGCGCGATTTCATCTAGATCAGCAATGACACAAAGCGACGTTACTGTCGACTACAGTTTATGTTGTTGTGAAGACCTTAGAGCGATTTCAGCAGAGCCGCAAACAAAATCAAAATCCATGAACGATGCGAATCTTGCCAACACATCTCGCATAGCAACTATAGAGACGCTGTGCGAAGACTTCAAGCAATAATAAGATGGTTGCTGCGGCTGTGATGGTATGTAGATTTAGCCAAGCTTTAAAGTGAAGCCTCTATTTTTGTAGAATAACTTTCAGCCATTGCACAGAAATTCAAATATCTATACTTAACTTATGGAGAGAATAGTTGGATGATTTCAGGGAAAAATAATCTCTCTCTTGACAGGTTCTCCCCTGCCCCTTCCCCAGAGTTTGTACGGACGAAGGGGCTTAAGCTGACGTTAACGCAAATCTTCTCACATCGATAGGTTTTCCAATGAATTTAAACTGATTTGACTTAAAACATATTTAAATAAGCCAATCAATCAAAGAAAACAAAACGAACACTAACTGTTGTTTATTACGAAAGTTCATGAGTGTGATGCTAAATTGGCATGCTCAACCCGCTGGTTTAAAAGTTCCGGTTTTAACTATATTCGGTATGAACGCGCTAAAGGTTCATCTTAGTTGCCAATAAGAACTGAAAATATCATTCTTGGTCCTATATTGGTTGTTAAGCAGAGACAAAACCAGCTGAGATGTCTAAAAATCTGAGGATTCTAGTCCCGGAAAAGATGCTCATTTTCTCTTGTCTGATTAATACCTGTTGGTTTCACTAATGGCAACGTGCTCCGCAGCCTGCACAAGTATACAATGTCAACAATTCTCGACTTAGTGGAAACCGAAACAGAATCTTTAGGACTGAACATGGTCCTAAGTTTAAATGGAGAGAAATTTTCTAGTAAATCCTTACAGTACTTGTTCAGTTTGGTATAGAAAAAAATTCTTTTGTGGTGAATAAAAGTCAATATATGATAGAAAATAGAAACCAAAACGATACCTGTATGATATACACCAGTGGAGTCAGAGCTATAAAAATCACATGGTCCTAACAGCAGGTGCTTTTTCTATCATTTATTAAAAAGAGTAGCGACCTTAAGATCCAAAAACGAGTAGGAAATTGAGTGCAAGCTAGAGAGGATAAATCCTCTCTTGGAGCAAGGTCTTACGCAAGAAAAAGTAAGCTCGTTCCAGTTCAGTGCTGACTACCACCATTAGACGGAAAGGCACAAGACTGCTCTCTCAAGCGATTATCCCGAAACACACGACTTTGGTTTCATACTCGCACTTAATCTCGTAATCTTTAATTCCATTCAGCGAATACTATTTCAACTTTTTAGAAAGAAAACATTTTAGACGTCCCATTTGTCCGGAAATTGGAAACCAACTTGAATCAGATCAAATAATGTACATGCACATAGTAAACACTACACTGTAAATCTAAAGCTCTGTATCGTACGTTTTCCATGGCGGCTTATGAATGGTGACACTAGACAGGTTGGTAGCGCTTTGCGTAGTTTTCCCCCTCTTATTGTTTGCCATTCTGATGACTTTCCTTTCTTCATACCGGTTCTTTTCATCTATTTCAAGACTGAAGTTAATAGTCCCACTGTCTTTAATCGCATCGGTCATAGTTGGCATGTCCATTTTTCCAGTTTCCAGCTGTTGTTGAATGACGTTTTTCCCATTCAAGGCCCGTACGCCACCCTGCAATTCATTGAGAGGCAGAAGAAGGGCAAGACAGCACGAAAACGACCATTGGGGATTTTTACGCCATGTGTTGAAATAACGGTAGATGTATATCAAGTACTGAACTGAGAAAAGAAAAAGTAGGGATCTAACTGAGAAAGCGGTAACGTAAGATTATAATTTTGACCGTCTTATGTCTCTAATAGCGGAATTCTGTCTCAATAAATTGCAGCTATTAAAATTCTCGATGGAGGATTTTCACTAGTTTTGAAGAAAATCAGCCAAAACAGCAAACACTCCTGAAAACACTCTTTTATTGCTAGAATTTCCGAGTTCAAAATGAGAAACTTAAGTTATACAAAGAGGTGAAGATCTTGTAATCTTTCAAAAACATTGTACTTTAAGTTCTAAATGAATGACAAACCAATGACTGAACGAGGAAGAATTATGCAGATCTCGGAGGTTGTTATCCTCCTCAGCAGGTATACAGCTCTCCTACATCTGACTTTTTCGTATATTATTAAGTTTTCGTTTAATACTCATCCTAATCGACGAGTAATTGCGGTTTAGCTGCAAGGTCTTGAAAAAAAATTTACACACGGGGGATGCAACATACTGTTATAAACATTCACCTGTTTTCCGAGAAATAAAAAAAAAATAGCCGGGTTTTAAAGCCTGATACTCACCAAAAAGAAGCCCAATTACTAACGAATTAGCACCAAACACCAGTAAATTGAACATGATGTTATCAAGATATGGATTGATTGAGGATGGAAGGCCTTCTTTAGGTATCCGACTTACAGCCCCTATTCCCAAGTTGACAAACGTTACGCCAAGGGATGACAGCATTAAATTGTTTTCAGAAGGGTCCATTATAGGACGTCTATAAGCAAAGAACATCCCATAAAGACCTGAAATGACACACGCCATTCCCACATAAGCCCGGCTTTCGCTCCCCACAAGAATCAATCCAGAGGTCAAAACCACCTTACGAATTGTCTCAACTAGTTCCCAATACCAGGTCTGTTCGGTATAGTTTTCAAAGAGAAACCGCAGCCCCGTCAAAACCTCTTTGTTTTGCTGTTTAACACTGGGCCTGTGATTTTGTTTTCGATAGCTTCTTTGCCTCCAAAGAATTATCAAAGATGCAGTTGGTAGAAACACAATGTACGCAACAGTGCAATATGCAACGAGTACCGAACGGTTGAATTCCGAGCTTGTGCACTCGATGCTGTAGTCTGCTTTAAGGAACTTTTCACAACTCTCGTCCTTTTCGTCAGCGCAGATAGTGTGACAAGAGAGGGGAAGAACATTTGCTGTTTTCAAACAGGTGCTCAGATAAGTCACATGGAGGAAGAAGAACAGATTTCGGTAGATCACCTCTCTCGTTTACGACATTTTCTTGTCTTTCACCTTTTTGCTAAGAGTGTTTCGCATTGAAGTTAGCTTCCTGATGCCGTAAACAGCAATCGCCACAACTACTGCAAACGTATTCAAAGCTAATATAGCGTACAAACTTCCAAATGCATTAACTTTGAGATTTTCAAAAAGACACTGGATGGGAGCAATCTGAAAGACGTTTACTTGAAGAACCCGGGTGTATTCTCCAATTCGAGTAAGAGAATCTGGCCATTTGATGTACGAAAATGCTTCAAGAACTCCAGATGTTACTTGATAAAAACCGATGGCTATCTTAAGTCTTCCAAGAATGATATCTACTGACGAACGTTCTTTATTTTTCGTATCCTTCTTTTTGCTTGTCCAAACCACAATAACAATTATTACTAAAATGACTGCTGCCAGGATTGAAAGCTGTCCGATTATCCATTTTTTCATTGGACATTCTGAACACGTTTTCAATTGCTTATAGTACCCAGCACTGCAAATTTCACACAAGGGACCCTCATAGCCATCGCTACATATTGACTCTAAACCGCCTTTGCACGATTTCTGTCTTGGACATTTTTGCGGTTGAGGAAGAATGGAAGAATATTTAATGTGAGAACCATTTACCACTGTGGGAGATTTTGCTTGCACAACGGGAGTAAAAACAGCGTTCTTAACGCCTGCCGTAAACTTTTCGTAAATCATTTTGTCTGTTTCATTCCTCCACTTCCACCAATATCCACTTCGTAGAGTAGCAAAATCATGTGCGCATTGCAATCCAGGTTGATCACATGGCTTACAGTCTTCAAACAAATTAGTGCGATAGAAGTTTGTCAAGCACTTGCAAGCTCGATATCCTGCAAATTCGGCGGTGTCTGTTCCTAGTGAAATAAGAACATTCAGGCATATCAATAGATATCCAGTATCATCACCAAGGGGGGAGGTGGGGGGGGGGGGGGGCGGTAGTCAATAACAACAAAGTTTTATACGGAGAAGCTCTGCTCGGAGGTCTAACCCTTAACCTTTTTATAAAATCAATTTTGATAGGAAGTAACCCTTTTTATAAACCTTCTACTGACAAATTAATGGGACCAATTTTACATAACTAGTCTAGAGCTTTGCATGCCTTTTAACTGCTGTAAATGCATTGTTGTTTTAACTATAAATAAATCACACAACTGACCAGATCGTTTTTCAACTTTTTTACAGTCACAAAATGTATATGTTAGCCACTTTAGGCCATTTTACAAACGGAAATGTCTTTCCCTAGGCTTTCACATACTTCAACTAGTGAAATCCTTACTCTTTCATACACCCGAAGCCTGGAAAGGTACCTTTTTCGGGTAGAGCCTCCCCGTACAGGATATCATAGGGAGTCCAACCACGGGCATCATCATCTTAGGCTGCATTCTGCAGCTGTTTCTTGGAATAATGCAAGGTAGGTGTCGCGTAGTCAGTGGCAGCGGAAAAGTAAAGTATAAAGAAACCGTTTTCTCCTGGAACATTTACCACACTGCAGTGTACTCAAATAAATTAACGACTTCAACTTTACCCATTGTCTTCCCTTTTTTGGTAAACATCTCCGCTAACTTGTGCAAAGATATATTTAACTGGCAAAAATTTTCAAAAAAATAAAATACACAGTTTGTTTCACAGCAAGAGGAGTGATGTTAAGGTTAAAGTAGGTAAGCTAAAACGTGTCTTTTTATTTAGCAATTAATGAATGAGGCTGAGCATCTTATGAACAACAAGACGCCATGGAGTGTACACCTCGGCGTCGTGGTTGTGGAACTGAGTAATAGTAAATGCGGAGGAATTGTAAGAAATGAAATATGGTAAGAGTAAGGTGTTAATTTGTGAAATTATGGGATTTGTCAGGATATTCTGAAAAGAGCTACGTCCAAGAGGTCTACTAGCCAAAAACTAGCATTTCGGGACAAATTGTCTCTGAGACATTAGCCCAACTCCATACAAATCCTTCTAAACTTGACCTGGGTCTGAACGCTTACACCTAAGTCAAATATCACTGGCGGTGAATAACAAGTCTACCAAAAAAACAGTGAAAAAATAATTTTCTATTTTTCTTAGTCTCATCAGGCTTCAAAAACAGCATAGCAGTCTCATGTACTGATTAAAGATATGTAAGGCATGGGTAAGGAGTCAATTACGTTGAGCATGCAATTGGCTAAAACTCAATGTTACGAGTTCGAATGTTTTGAGGAAAATTATTCACTGACTATCAGCACGCAGGGATGTCGGATTAACACAAGGAAGTTTGATATCAAAGGAACAACATTGCCTTTACAGAGCTTTAAAACACAGCATCCGCCAACACAAACTTGACTTGAACTTAAGTAAAACTAAACAGCCTCTGCCGATAATAACAAACTCTCACTTGAACTTCAGATATCTTAGGGCTTCCGCCAACTTTTAAACACAGAACTTGAAAATCGACCTTCCTCACACTTGACTAAACACAGCAGTCCAGCTCGTAAAACTTAGTTCGTCAAAAGAACTCGCTTGGAACTTGTATACCGTTTGACATAAGGTTCTAGAAAATACTAAACAGGCGAATAGTAGTAGCTTTTCGACATATTTTATGATTTCAGTAACTGATGCAAATCTGCTGACTCATGCTGAAATGTAAACATGCCCTAATTAATTATTCAAGAATAATCCAAAAACGTAGAGAACGCTTGAGAAAGTCACGCAACCCATGAAAGCAATTTAATCACGTAACACTCAACAAAGACAAAATGTCTTTGTGCAGCATTTTGTAGCTTTAAATTCATCATAAAACAGTTCGAAAGGAGGGCTCACTCGTGAAATGTTTTTCAACACTCGAACAGAAATTTCGTGTCTCTGCGCGCCACGTAATATCCTCTATTTTTTGCTCGAGTAAATTAAAGACTAAACTCGAAGTGATCTCAAGATATCACGAAGTAGTCCGATCTCATTTCGTGAAATAGCCGAAACAAGCCGAAAAGTCACGAACTTGCAAGCCCAATCTTGTCCCGAAACCAGTGCATCATTTCATAACTATTTTTCATACGCCAAACTACCTTGGGTCGCAGTAGCGCAGTCGGCTAATCCCTCAACTTAGAGTCTCCTCTGATCTGACGGGTCACACAGGTGAGTCGGTTCAAACCCCGGGAAATCCAAAATAATAATTCTTTCTTCCTCGAAAAAGTTACAGAATGAAGCAAAGAAATCGAAGTGATCTCGAGATTTCTCGAACTAATTCGTCTCTCACTTCGTCAAATAGCCGAATAAAACCGTAAACTTACAGACTTTGCGTGCCCAATCTTGTAAAAAAAAAGTCACCTTTGATACATTCCTGAACGTCGCGAATCCTTTACTTCGCGATCCGCTGAAGTAATTATGGAAAAATTATTCATATGATACGAAAGCCGAATTCAATAGTTGTTTTATTATTCATTCAAAATAATTCCTGGTTTAAAAACATGGCTAAAACATGCTTACCTCCATCGATCCATCGATGTTGAGTTCATCTTCGATAGTGCACATTTAGGGTTGTTCAGATATTCTCCAAATAGCAGATGTTGAGTTGTCTTGTTGCTGTTCTTGCCATGTTTTTAGCTATTATTTCGCCTAGTTCTTTCTCTTGAAAGAAGTGAAATGTCCGCCATTTTTGTTTTCACAACCAAAACAACTCAACCGTCGTCCCCAGGTCTTCTCGGTTAGCAGAATCCGCGAGTGGGCAAGATGAAGCGAATCCTGCATTCTTATTGGCTCCCACATGTAAAAGCTCTCTTTTTGGCGATATCCTTTGTTGACCAAGCTATGGCTGAATATTGGCCTCGTTCTTTTTTTTGCGTTTTTACTGACCTCGACTTCGTCTCGGCCAAAAGAAACGCAAAAAAAAGAAGGAACTCGGCCAATATCCAGCCATCTTGACCTCACGCTTGGTCAATAACGCATATGTATGCGGGATGAAATATTTTTCACTCCATCTACATGTCAGATAATAGAGCTGTTGTGCGATTGAAACACTTCATTAAAGGGAGTGTAAGGCTGAAACTATATTATACCATTGTTATTTATATTATACCAGTGTTGTTTTATAAGATTACTGATACCTTGTGGACATGCAAGGCAGTCAGATTTTTGAATACCAGGAGCATTGCTGTAGTGAACGAACGATCCATTAGGACACCTCACACACTGGTTACTGACGAAAGCTTCCGTGTCAGAGTAAAATCCGCCTGTTGAGTAATTAAAATAAAATTGCGATTTTACTTTTTAAACTGCAAATACAACTTTCACAGTGACTTTGCTATGCTTACAAGGCCTGACCAAAACAAACATTTCGGGTTCTTGCATTAGGATATCCAACTTCCGTACCCCATAACAATCAGCGTCGGTTCCGACAAAAAAAGTGATTTTGGCCATGCCACCCCCAAAGTTGTCTTAATTTTTTTCAACATTGATTTTATTATCTCCAAGGGGTCGCCAAACGGATCAGTAATATATTAATAATAAAGACCACAACATGACCAAAAGTTATCAAAGAAAAAGTAGAAATAAGTAATGCTTAAGACAATAAGGCGTTGGTATCTTGGAACTGATTAGTTGTAGTAGAGGTCTTTGAACCTATTCCTTGTATTCAATTGACATATGCTCACTGAATATGAATCCAGTTTATTATGAAAAATAGTAACATGAAATTTTAGCGGAAGCGACCTTTTCATAAACACTGGGAGGTAAATTAAAAAAAACCTACCTGCTGGACATTCCAAGCACTTCAGCTCACTGGGATCACTGACTGATGAATCTACAAATGTACCCACTGAACACGGAAGTAATTTCTGTTTGCCCGCAGTTGTGTTAGCAAATCCAGCCGGGCGCAGGGACTCTGACAAGCTATCTTTTGCACTTGGAGTGATGGCAAGAAAATCAGATTCCCAGGTAAGAAGGTCGATGTCTATGTATTCTGATTCGTTTTGCCCTAAGCCACTAAAGCAACGGACAATAAAAATTTGAAAATTTAAAATTTATGGACAAAAAAGATGCCTATTTTGAATCAGTAAAATAGCCTTGGAAGCTGCCTACTCTCCCCTCTCCTAACCCAACATTTGCCCTTGGGGGGATTCCAACTCTCGCTTAGTTTCAACTTGTGTACCACGTAAATTTTACGCTCGTAAATAAAATAGAGGTAATGTAAACGCAGAAGTTGAACATCGCTCAATTTTACGTTTACGCATAACTTTTCATACATTGCTTCTGTTTTACCTATACTGGGGCGTAGCGTGAGATTTTGAAGAGTCACTGAGTGTACGCACTGGAAGAAAAGTTAGAACGCCGAAGGCGCTCCAAACAAATTTTTAAATTTAGGGTCTCGAAAATGCCATTTCCTGCGCTTTCCGGTTCTGCAGGACATTTTCAGGAAAAAATATGAAGGAAAATGTTCTGAGGGGGCAGGGAAGAGTACATTTTTTGTTTTTCACCCCACTATAATGGTTTCTTGGCGTCTGTTTATGGAATAATAAAAGGATAAAGGAAACACTAACACAAAGACACCAATACAATGTGAAAAAGTTATCAGTCATCCTGATTAAGTGATAAAAATACGTAAAGGAAATATTTTTTCCCAGATTTTAGCTGTCCGCGAGGGCGTATGTGCGTATTTAGACGCTTCTCTCATGATAAACACTAGTAAAATTAACGTGCGTACGCAGGTTAAATTACGCGGCAGTTGAAATCCATCCTAAGTATGAATTTCGTGTTAACGTTTTATTAGGGAAGAGGTAAATGGGCTTTCGCGGAAACTCATATATTTGGCTATGTTCACA